GGCCCACGAAAAATGGGCTGTTACAGTTTCTAGAGAGAAGTGAAGTCAATGACTGGCGGCAAACATCCATATTCATCATTGAACCACGTGTCTACAGAAGAGAAGAAGACAAGGATAAAATTGTAGGCTTTTTGACCGGTGATTCTTCTCATTATGAGGATTTATTCGTCTATCCAATACTAGATTTAGGTGGATTAGGAAAAACAACACTTGCTCAACTCATCTTCAATCATGAGAAGGTAGTCAACCACTTTGAGCTAAGAATTTGGGTATGTGTTTCAAAAGATTTCAATGTGAAGAGAATAACAAAAACTATCATCAAAACAACATCTTGGCATGTTTGTTATGATTTGGATCTAGAGTCATTACAAAGAAGACTTGAAGATCTACTTCATAGAAAAAGATATTTGCTTGTTTTGGATGACATGTGGGATGATAAGCAAATAGTGATTGAAACCTATATTGGCTTGTGGGGGCAATGGATGCTTTCATTTTGGTCACTACTCGTCTTCCAAAGGCTACAGAGATCATGGGAACAATGTCTTGTCATGAATTATCATTGTTATCTGACGATGATTGTTGGGAGTTTTTTAATCACCAAACATTTGGATCAAATGAGGAACAAGAAGAAAATATTGTGCTCATACGGAAGGAGTTAGTAAAGAAGTGCAAGTGAGTACCTCTGGTAGCAAAAGCACTAGGAGGTCTTTTACACTTTAAAAGGGAGGAAATGGAGTGGCTTTATGTTAAGGAAAGCAACATATGGAGTTTCCAAAAAGATGAAAATTTCATAATGTCTGCCTTGATATTAAATTACATGAACTTGTCAATAAAATTTAGACAATATTTTGCTTATTGTGCAATATTTCCCAAAGATAAAGAAATTGAAAAGTAATAGATTTTTGGATGGCTAAAATGGATTCATTTCATTTGATGAAAAATTAGATGCTAAAGATTTTGGAAATGATGTGTGGAGTGAATTATATTGGAGATCTTTTTTTTCTTCAAGATATTGAGACGAATGAATATGGCAAAGTTATAAGTTTCAAGATGCATTATCTTGTTCATGATGTTGCACAATCTATTGCAAAAGATGTGCGTTGCATTACAAATCAAAATGATATAATTGCTTCATATGAAAGAATTCATCATCTATCAGATTATAGGTCGATGCATAATTCATTTGAGGAAATTGATCCAATCCAATTACAACATATGAAATCTTTGAGGACCTATCTATTACCAAATAGAATTGAAATTGGCCAGCTTTCTCCTCATGTGTTGAAATAGTATTCTTTGCGAGTGCTTCACTATGAAAGAAGAAAAAAATTGTCATCTTCAATTGGTGATTTAAAACATCTAAGGGACTTAAATCTTTCTAGAGGTGACTTTAAAACTCTTCCAGAATCACTATGTAAATTGTGAAATTTGCATACATTGAAATTAGACTATTGTCGACATCTCCAATGGTTTCCAAATAGTTGGATGTGCTTAAAAGCTCTACAATAGCTATCTTTGAATAGGTACAGCTCACTGTCAAGCTTGCCTTCTTAAATAGGAAACTTAACATCCTTAAGGAATTTAAGCACCTACAAGTTGGCAAGGAAAGAGGATTTCTTTTAGAAGAATTGGGACGACTAAAACTTGAAGGAGATATACACATCAAGCATTTGGAGAGAGTAAAAAGTATAGAGAATGCTAGAGAAGCCAAAATGTCAAGTCAGCCACTTAGCTAGTTGGTTTTGTCATGGGACAAAAATGAGGAGTCCGAATTTCAAGAAGACTTTGAGCAAATTTTTAAAGTGCTTCAACCTAGTACCCAACAACTTCAAACTTTGAGCATAGAAGGATACAAAGGTGTCTATTTCCCTCAATGGATGTCTAGTCCTTCTCTAAAAGTTGTTTACAACTTCCAACTTTGGGGAAACTAACTTCTCTAAAGACTCTACGCATATCTAACATGCTTCATGTAAAATACTTATATGAGGAGTCCTAAAATGATGTAGTAGTTTTCGTGGCTCTGTAGATTCTGTCATTGGAGATACTACTTAACCTAATAAAGTTATCAAAAGAGAGTTGGGAAAACATGCTCACCTGCCATTCCAGAGTTGAAATTACAGGAGATCCTAAATTATTGGATTTTCCTAGCCTTCCATCTATTAATAGTCTACGAGAATAGAAGGGGAATGCAACCAAGATTTTCTAAGTTCAATTCATAAACTCAGTAGTCTCAAATCCTTGTGTTTCAAAGATAATGAAGAATTAACATGCTTTCTAGATAGGATGCTACAAAACCTTACTTCTTTGAAGACACTACATTTTGATTGTCTCCGTGAACTCATAATACTCCCAACTAAAATCACTAATCATAATGATATCCAAGAACTGGTTATCCGATGATGCATGAACCTAGAGTTGTTGTTGCAAGGACTGCACTCTCTCAAGAGATTAATAATAGACAGATGTCGTAAGTTCAATGCTTTGGCATGTTTTCAATGCCTTGAGTATATATGGCTTGAAAGATGCAAAGAGATGGAAGGTTTCTATGAGGCTTTACAAAATATGACTTTCCTTCGGGAGTTAATATTATGAGATCTTCCAAACCTAGAATCCTTACTTGACTACTTTGGAAATCTTTCCTTGCTTCGCCAATTAGACATTGTTGACCTCCAAATTAAGGTGTCTTCCAATGAGCCTAAGGCTTAGCGGTCAAAAAATATTGAAGATTCACTATTGTTGTGAGTTAGAGGAGCAATGTGAGAAGGAAATCTAAAAGGATTGGCCAAAAATAGCTCAAATTCCCATGTTCAAGTTTTATAATGCAAGACACAGGTATATTATGATCATTGATCCTATTCCTTTCCACACACAAATGACATAATATCTTTTCACAAAGAGTAATGACACACGATACAAACTTTTAAACAATTTATACAACATCAATTTTTTTTTTGTTTCTTTCCCAACATTTATTTATTACATTTCAAACATCTATCTCTTTTTTCTTTTTTAGTTGTAAAAATTTATTCTAGTATCATTTCTATGTCGGAAAACCCTGTCAACATGTATACCCAATTTGAAAATTGAAAGAATAAATTTTAGTGGCCATTCGGTTTAAGGAAAGGCTTTCTATTTTCACTTTAAATTTCCAGGATTTAGAAAAAATATGTTTGCTTTGACGTCACATTTCCCTTTTCTCCACCTGGGCACTTTCTTCTTTCTCTATCAACATGACTTGCAATCCAATTATTAACTAGAAATTGGAATATGTAAACATTGTCGCAGCACACAACAGAAGAGCATGAAGGTGCGAAAGAGAGGAAAAGCCACAGGCACCGCAACAAGGGAACTCAGCCAAGTGGGGACAGGGACTGTCATGGTGGTTGCTGGTCTGTTGTGAGATGATGTTATGATTTGTTCAGTTTTAATGGAGTTAGAAAGTAGTGAGGGCATGAGACAGACCACACTAGAGAGAATTTTTTATTTTTAACGTGTAAATTTTTATTTGGATAGTCTAACTGTGAAGTGTTAAGTTTGTGTCTATTCGAGTCTTCCTCCATATTTAAGAACCATTCTTCAACAAAAATCTTTTTAGCTTTTTTTTTTCTTTTTCAAAATGTGTTTTTAAGAGTTTGTCTAAACCACTTATCTCTTTTAATATAATATATTTTGTTATTTATGAATTAAATTTCAATTTTAAAAATATTATAATATTACAACATATATTATTTATCGCAAATCTTATTTTGGAAGACCAATGACGCGTACATTTGGATGCACGTTGTATCAGGGCAATGCACGTATTTTCTTTCAAAAACGCGATTCTTCCTCTGGATGCATGTTTGGAATTCTTCATCTTCACATGATTCTATAGATAAATATCAATCTTAGCTAAAGTTGGTGAAGATTATTTCTACGTTTTGAGAAAATTAATTTTGGTAAGTGGATATTTGATTTTCTTCATTTGTCCTCATGAAACTTCAATGTTCCCTTTCTCCTCACCTAATTCATAAATGTTTTGATTCTTCTCATCAATTTTATTTTCACCGATTTAGGGTTCTTTCCTCCTCGTGTGATGTCCTGATTCTTCTCATCAATTTTATTTTTACCGATTTAAAGTTCTTTCATCCTTACGTGTGTACATGTTACACCTATTTTGAACCAGAAATTTTATTGGGCATTTATTTTCTACTTCAATGCTAACTAACAACCTCTCCAAGTTATAACTTTTATTCAAGTTGCATTTTTGATGGATTGTGCGTTCATGCTTTATGGATCTGTTGGTTTGGCTGGTATAGAACTCTGTTCTTGCTGGCACATGAGCTTCCGGAAGAGGTCCAAATTCATCTTTATTATTTAGGACCAATTTCTCTCTTTAATTTTTAATTTTTCTTTATTTTAATTTTGTTGATTGTATTACAGTGAGTAATTGATTGGTCCATAGATGATTGAAGAAATATTAGATATAAACTTAAGTTCCATTCTCTTGTTTTGCAGGTAGCAAGCATATTTGTTCCTTCGGTTGTTTTTTTTTTTGCATTATTGACATTATTGGGTTGGTAAGATCACCATAACTACTTTGCTCCTTTGTTGAATTTTGCGGGGACAAAGAATGATACAACAAGAAAATTAAACTCCTCGTAACATGTGAGATGCGCATTCAAAAGAAGAATAGAGAAATTAAAATATGTAATTAAGAGAGAGAAAAGAGCAAGAGTCTCACTTTTCAAAATTATGTATTAAAATTATCATTTTTGGTAATTTCAATTATTAAAGTGATACCTTTGTAATTTATGGGACTAATTTGATCGGTACTTACAATTTCAAAGACTAATTATGCGTATTGTTCAATCATATCAATTCTTAATCACTTCACATACACTGAATCTGACAGATAGTTCATAAAATCGGGCCAGAACAGATTACCCGGCCGAATACAGTAAAATTGCTTTTAAATTAGGCAAATATTGCAACTATTAGACTTCTACAAATGAACAATATATGAATAACAAAGCCAAGAACTGATTTTCTATCATATATTTTGCAAGACCAACAACGACGTTGTGCAATCCATGTAGTAACCTAATAGACTTTGTTGTATTTTGTGGAGAAAAAAAAAATGATATAACAGAAAATTAAACTCCTAGTAACAAAGAACTTTTGAATTCTTATCATAAATATTAAGTCACATTAAACATGAAGGTTTTGATAACCTTTTTCCACTTTAGCTAGTTGTGGTAGTCTAGTGGAGAGTGCTCGCCCTTCAGAAGCATTGGTATTTGGTAGCACATAAAAAGTACGCACTTCATGAGTTGGAAGTGGTATATATGACACTTGCAAGAACAAGTATTGTGCTATGAAATTGAAATCACAATTCACAAGGGGCTATTATAATAGTCAATCGAAGCTAGAAGGGTTAAAATCATACTCGTATGATTATGATCACTGGATTTTCTGCAGCAGCTTTTCAACCATAATTCTCTGCTGAGCACCACTCAATGTCTCTGAGTTCATAATCGCATTAGCTACGATAATAGTCGTGGGTGGAGATGCTGCATTGACCTAGATGGAACAATATGAAAAGGAAAGCTGAAATTAATAGAATGAAAATTCCCCCATCTCCATTTCATAAATGATGATGGTCAAGCATATGCTTCATACGAGACATGTCCATTTAAAGAAGCAAAGACAAAGAACATAATGTCATGCTAGAAATAGAGGGTGTCTGCGTACCCAAACACGTCCATTTAAGCCAACTGCTATCTCAAAGGACAGTTTCTTCCCTAAAGCATCAAGTACTGGACATGTGGGTGAGCTGAGAAGCCTACAAACAACACACAATCTCTCATGTCATGATCTATTAATTTAATGCATGGACAGCAAACAACAAATTCCACAGGCATACATCCTTGAGAGACCGGTTGTACACTCAAACATATAGCCATCTTTTAGAGCACCAAATTCTGCTGCTTTCCCACTGGCTAAACAAACACCAAACAAAATATAAGCCAAAGAATTAAGTCTGCAAAATACAACAGAAATAAATTTAACTTAACCAACAAAAAATAATTAAGAGGTACTCAAGAAAAAAAAAAAACGATGTTAAAATGAAGTTGAGAATAAGATGCCTACCATCAGTGCATGACAGCTCTGGATTCATTCCAGGGTTTGCTTTTACAACCCGCACGTAAAGCAAAGTACCTATCTGCAGTTAATACATTAGGCAAAATAAAATACAACCTACAGAACCGTGATACACCAATCTTACAAAACATTGTTTAACACTCGAGAGGGGAACAAGTCAAGGGCTATGACAGCCAAACCAATGAGAGGAAAAGGATAATGTAAATGATTTTTACACTTCATCTCTACAAGAATTAATACAACATACACTCTTAGAAGACACATCTTTGCTAATCTGTCGTAGTAGCAAAATTCAAAGATAGTAGTCCTATATTATAATGGAAAAGCACTCCTTTCATAATAATGCCCTCGTCAAATCCTCGAAGATAAATAAAATACAGAAATATTGTGCTGCTGATTTGTTCTTCCATATTCAATAAATCCATGGAATTTGGGTAGACTAAAAGGAGCTGCAACATGTGTTGTTAAGACGCATTTGTAAATCCAATTTGGAAATATTCTATTTTCATCCATGGCATAATTCATACCAAGAAATACTTATAGCCTGCACCACATCAGCCACTAGTAATGGTTTCTGAGTCTGGACACACGCTGAACTCACAATTTCGTCTAGCAAGCACACTCCCTCCTGAGCATCCAGCATTCAATCTTATTTCATTTTTTTTCTCGTAAATGATAATGCCCCAAAATATCTTGGCAATCTTATCTAGAAGGGTGATCATTTTTGTTAAAAATAATAACTAGGAAATATTTTGGCCTGTGAAAGCAGATGGATGCTGACAAATGGGGAAAAGTATTTGAAAAAGTAACTTGGACAAGAATGAGGTATCGAGAGAGAAGATAAATGCCAATATATTCAACATTACATTTTCTTTTTCAAACAAGTATATCAAGGCTAAAAAAGGATAAAAGCTTTAAGTCAAGCTCCATAGCTAATAACAATCCTACTAGTGAAAAAGTTGACACTTGGAGCATTGATGCAAAAAGAAAATGACCCAATGTTATATATATTGAAAAGTAAATTTTACCATTAAAAAGGAAGAAAAGTACAACTGTTAAATGAATAAGATTTCCACCAAATCAGATAAAACAAATACATAGAAAGAACATTAAAATAAAAAATATAAAATGCAACTTGGCTCAAAGATACAGCCATGATAGGTTTGGTTTAAAATTTCTTAACTAAACACAGTGACACGACACAACTTTTCAAGCAGACTAGTTAAGTTACTAAAAGGGCAAAAGACCAGCATCAAGATCATGGCTTGTAACTGATTTCGAAGATTCTTTGATTTTTGTCATATTAGTCAAAGTTACTAGTGCCTCCAATGGTTGACCTCTTTTCTACTCCACAGTACAATGCATAATAATAATACTATCCCTTCACCTATATCAGATTATTTATATTAATAATTGAGGACTATAAAATGAACCTTATATATCCTTTACTTCGGGTGCACTGCAAAAAACTCCTAAATTCCTCAACAACCATCGTGATTGCAAATACCATTAACTATAGAAAGTTGAGTGATTTGAGGTAGACAAGGCTACCACAAAAAGAAATAATTATGATCGTTTTATGCTTACATACTCTGAATAAACATGCTTCTAAATTTCCTCAAAAATAAGTTCTCAACCAGCAGATAAAGATATGAAGTGATTTACTGAAAGTCTAAAACTACACAAAAATTATTGCATTCTTCTACTTCTGAGTCATGAGAGACATCAAGGATAATTTTATGCAATTAGCATACAAACATGGTTTATGCGCACCTCAAATTTAGGTATATTTCTTCTTGTTCCTCCTTCAAATGCAAGCACCGGTAAAAATGCTATAGCTGGTCCTTTTATGTCCACAAGAAAGTTCTGCACAGAAATAAATTGAGATTTTTATCATAGAATGAAACCCAAAGCTAGGTAAGAAACAAACTTAAATTTCTTTCAAGTAAAAAAAAAAAAAAAATAGTACAACAGTTGAAATATGATAGAACCAAGCAATCCATTCATTTTGTGTCACGCTAGTAAATTCCTTTTAACAACTTAATGTTTACAATGTGCTTGTGTCTTTGTAGGCAAAAACTAATGGTGGAAGGGTAATCCACTATGCCTTGGCTAATTCTCTTTTTTATTCCTTAGTCCTCATTAACAACTTAAGACAGTTAAATACTAGAGCCTACATAAAACTTGGAAGTCAGCATGAAATCTTGAAAAACAAAAATAGAAGACTTCCTTACATCTGACAACAACTTTAGACAGTTAAATACTAGAGCCTACATAAAACTTGGAAGTCAGCAAGAAAGCTTGAAAAACAAAAATATTCCTTACATCTGATCTGGAGTCTACAACAATTCCAAGAACAGAATCCTCTGCATGTGGCACATACTGAACAAAACAAAATAAATCAGAATACATAACAAAACAAAATAGCATTGTTCTATTCCTAGGGGGAAAAAAATTAAAATCATACTCTGAATATAAAAATTAGGAAAGTTACATAACATAATTCAATGCTGAAAAAACAATTGTATGCATTAGGAGATAAGTTTTCTGGAAGAATGCAAACTGCTATCCATCTTAACAGCAAGAACTTAATTCCCAAATATGGTATAGAATATGTATAGATCATGACAGATACTATCTTCCAATGTAATGAAAAACAAATTTTGACACTAAAAGTGACAATAAACTGAAAATTGAAATAATTGATTTGAGGATATTATTCACATCATCTTTGGGCTTAGCCATCTTGTTTCTCATCAAAAACATATTAGCCCCCTCTAGTAAAAATGCTCCAGGAATACATGTAAGAAAAACACACACATACAATTATAGCAATTTGACAGTAAATTCATACGGCACTGAGAAATAAGTATATTAACCAGTAACAATCAAAAATCAGCATTGTCATGTCAGTCAGCCATGCATTTACACATTATACATAGATCATGACCACAGTATCATACTCAATTACTCACCCTCTTTTGAGAATTTTCAACCCAGTATTTATTAGGCTTTGAGAACCTTAGTGTGCCAGCTTTCATTACAGAAATCACATCACAGTCCTAAAAAATTGACATAAGCAAGAATCCATTACTATTAATATCATTGAACAGGATAAACAAAATGCAAGAACTGTCATCATGTATTATTTCCGTTTTGTTTATAATATGCTAGATGACGGAAAAGAATCAACAAATACGAAGTCAAAAACAAGACACCCCAAAATTCTAGGTTAATAAAATTTTGAGTTCTGTATCCTTATCCCTAAACATAAGAAATGCCACTTCATAATTTCCAAGAGATTTGAAAATTCGAGAGCTGAGCATATCTGATATGAACCGTGTCCAGCATGCATATAACTAAAAATGGATTGAAGGTATACACAAAGCATCCTAAAAGTTGTTATTGTCGAAAATGAACAACTAAAAAAGGGAGACACGTGAATGAGAATATTAATGAGTGTTATAAATTATGGAAAATCTGGGGACACACCTGTCGTAGACCACCTCCAAGTTTAATTGTGTGGTTTGTCATGTTAGATAGGTCAAGAACAACATCTCCGGGAAACTACACAACCATTGAATAAATTATAATTAGCATAAAAAAAATAATATCTGAACACATGCATAAGGGGAAGGGGAAGCACTAACCACTGATTGGTCAACTAGGCTTGTAGAGGATTTGGTTTCCATTTATTGAAAGCAAAAAGATGCTAACTGTGAAATTGATTCAGCATCCAAATGTAAGTTTTCACTTTGCAGGTAGAAATTGGATATGAAAAATTGTAAACAGTTATAATAATGTAAGGAAAGAACGTTTGACATTGTATTTCATAACAAGAAAAACAGAGCACTGAAGATACCGAGATGAGGGAAGAGGGAGTGGGTGGCCGCAGGTGAAGGCTGCGGCGACAGAGGGTACAAATACGGCGGAGAAAGTTGCCGGAGAGGAGAGGAGGTTGCTAGTTTGTACACAGTGTGCGCAACGAAAGAGAATTAGGTTTTGTTTTGGTCTTCAAAATTGAAAAAATGTCACACTAATGATCCCGCTACTTCAAAACACTAAAGGGTGCAATAAATAAATGATTTAATTGAAAATATATATATTAAAATAGTTTTACTGATGGTTTAATAATAAAAATAAAATAAAATAAAAGGAAAGAAAATTTATATTTTTTGTTTTTAATTAAAAAAATATTTCAATTTATATATTCGATTTTCAAATATTTGTGCTGTTAATACTTAATACTGAAAATATTTGTTGTAAAAGAAATTAATTGAATATATTTGTTAATTTTTTTAATTTTTTTAATTTTTAAAAAATATTTTAATCTTTAAAAAAATTATCAAATATTATCATATAAAATTTATTTATAGTGTTATACATGTAAAAACATCACATAAATACAAAATTCGGTTGACATAACATAATTATCTCAATATTAATGATATGAGAGATTAAGATAAAATATTTAAAAATTATAAGACTGAAAAACAACTGAAAGATAAAATTAAATTTATTATATATTTAAGAGACTAAAAACATATTTAATTTTAAAATAAATAAATAAAATAAGGTGGCAAAATGAGTATTGAGCATTAAAAAGATAAGGTTAAATAATTTGTTGTGTAACCAAATAAATGTATACATATTCACCGTGTACTTGTTCAGTGGCAGTAGTCATATTTAATATCTTAAAATATTAAATAAAAAAGTAAAACAAAATATCCGAGCACGTTACCTATTGTGACTGCCAACGCTTTGTAATGTCAATTGTGCCACAGCTTTTTAACCGGTTTTGTTTCTGCTATGAAAATTTGTTCCCCCAAAGCTACTTTACATCCAATATTTTCATTTAGTCCATTTGCTAATGATACATTGACACTCATTTATATTTAAAACAGAAAAGTTTGATTAACACCTAAAAGTTTGATATTTCTTTATTTCCATAAATATTTAAGACGTGTTTGGTCTACATTATATCTTTGCATGAATATATATTATAATTATCAAAATGCGCTCACTATATTAAAAAAAATACTTCATTTTCAAATTTAGGAAGAAAATAATAAAAACAGAAAATTTTTATTTTTTTTATTTTTAAATATTTTTAATAAATAAATAAAACAAAATATGTTTTTAATTATTTATAAAAATAAAACATTTTCTATAACTAGTTTGCTGTACACTTGCAATTTCGTAAACCTGTAAAATAAATGGAATTTTTTTATTTTTAAATTTGTATCATTTTATATCCTTGTGCTCCCATCATGTAAAAAGACTTGCACAACAATCCAGCTTCAACTGAGATCAAAATCACCTTGAACTATATTCACAACTCATCAAACTACAGAGGAAAAAAATATAACATCATACTATTTTACTTACAGAGAAACTTATCAATTATTCAAAATTTAAAATAAAAACAAAGTCAAAAATGAATTCTTTCCATACACAAATAGACCCTCTTCCACTTACTAGAGAGAATAATGGACTAGGCAAATAATGAAGAAACTACAGTGATGTTCTTATATCAGCTGATGATAGAACTGCAGTTGGCATGTTCATGTCATGGTCGGTGATAAACATACTTTGTTCTGGGATCCACAATGAGACCCTTTCCTCCATTCACTTCTAAGTCATGCCTACCAGATCACAAGTACAAAATGAATTAGAACCTATAATCTAAACTACATTTACAAGGAAATAGAAACATCAAACAAAATATGCTACTGGTATCAAGCCCAAATACCTTCAGATATCAAGTGCAACATTTTATGAAAAAGAAAATGTTAATAGCGCACTCTTTATTATTGGTTGAAAACTTGAAATTTTATTGAGAATTATAACAGTCCACCTGTGCTTTGCACTGTCTATGGACATGCGAAAAAGCAACCCATTTTAATAAAAAAAAAGTTTATATATATTTTTAATCTATCAAATATGTAGTAAATTTATTTAGTTTCTTAAATTTAAAATTGATTTTTTTAGTCCTTGAAACTTGAAAAAAAAAAAAAACTTAATTTAATCCTACTGCACAAATGTTGTTAGTGAATTTGTAAAATAAAAACTCACCCATTACTGAATATTTTGCACAAAATTTATCCATTAGTGTCCTTGTTAGTGACAGCATCATACTAAATCCAACTAATGTTGTGTATAACCGACTCAATTTGACATTGTCAGTGATGCTATTAGTGATCTTGAGAGACTAAAATAAGTTTTTTCTTCAAATTACAGAGACTAAAAAAATCAGATTTAAATTTAAAAAACCAAAAACAAATTTACTTAAAAGTTGAAGGACTAAACATATTTAAGCTAAAACAAGTTCAGAATGCAAAGAGAGAGTGTGCAGTGTGGGGAAATTTGACACAAAATGCTGACACGGGAATTTCATTCATTCCCTAATTAATGAGTCTTGCTTATGATTTTGTAATTCCCAACAAATTTCAATCAGTGTGTTAGTGTCACTCCTCTTTCATGGAACAACCTTATGAAAAGGAACAAATGATTAGAACACATGAAAACATAAAGACTCAACTGAAAGACGAAATCTGGGATGGTCAACTGTTCGCGGGGTACATATCTGAAGAGCTGTAGTAATCTATCAACGTATACCACTTTCTTCCAAACCTAAAAGTTAATCGTCAATGACAATAACATGTATAGGATGTCCTTAAATATAGTTTTAAGTCTGTAAATAAAATCTGATTCGTCACGCACCAAATTGTCGACAAGCAACTGAAGCGCGAGTACAGTCAATTTTAGTCCAAGAGTTGGGTGAAGGACATATATTGCCTGCACATACCAGATTGAGAGATCAGAACAAAGACTACAAAGGCATAATCATAATGCTTTTAAGAAAAGAGAAATGTTGCATACATGTAGATTGTGCTGGTGCTTCCTTCCAAGTATTTGTTGCAATCTTCTCATCCAACCTAGGTCCGGTTGCCTATTTATACAAAAACATTATCAAGAAACCATACTAATGAACATTGCATACAAATCGGGAGCAACCAATGATAGGAGTAACATAAATTTCACGAAGCAACCTGCTTATGTAAAATATTATTAACCAAACATCAAAACACAATTGTGTTACTATGTATTTGTTTATTCAAGTATGCTTCTCCTCAGTGGCATGTCTTGAATTAATTATAGAACAATTTTCCCAAACACTGTCACCTAACCTCTTAAGTTTTGTTTCACAAAAATCTACCACTTAAACAGGCAAATCTGCTATCAGCATAATAATGGGTTCAAATTTAACAGAATAATGATCCTTGACAAAGGAGCATATATTAAGCCACAACACATCAAATCAAAGGACAGCTAGATTTAAATACGACGTATGTGCCGAATTTAAGAAAGAAAAATAATGCAGAACCAACCACAATAGAGGTACATAAAGTAACTTCAAGATTCTATGCCACTCATGGAAAAAGGTCATGCCGATGTTACCAGAAACTATAAAAAGAACTATTGATATTTGATACTGAGGGAGACGTTTGGCAATTAAATACTATACAAGCGCAAACAAAAATGTTAAGCCATATTTCTGACGCTGAAACTTGAATTTCCAGTTCCTTTTTTCTAATTGAATAAACACGAATTTAAAGAATTTTAGCAATGAAAGCCTTTTTATTTATGTAATAAAATAATTCACATAATATAAGAACTAGTTCACCGATTAAGGTCTACCATTAGCTCATTCATAACCCTTGGCATATTTCATACCCCTAAAACATAAAAGAAAAGGACAAACCTGTAAATCCAATAATTCCATTATTTAACACTTACACTTGCAGAGATGCAGCAGAGTGAAAGTATACAATAGTATAAGGCTTCTGTATTATAGGCTCAAACTCCTGAAATTTAACACCAAGATGATTCTAAGTATATTCAAATAGTAAAAAGGGTAAGCCAAAAGAATACGGATTGAAACTTATGGTTATAATGAATAAATGAGTTTTAAGAGAAGTACACATGCCCAACATTGAATTTATGCTTGTTAGCAGTAAAATATGTCGAGCTGAAGGGTAGAACTGAATCACCTTCACCACGTAAAGCACAAATCGCTCCAGATCAAGACATCTAAGCAAAAAGTGAGCCCCCACAACCACCATGACTGGACGACCCTCACTGTCTACCCCTCCGCGATAGCTGAAAAACATAAATACCTCTGAAATTAAATGTAAATATTAATCTGAACACATGCATGAAATCTTCATTTTGAATTGTTAAGTAATGCAAAAATAGTAGAAAATTTTAAAAGAGTAAAAAGCTTGGTTATTTGTTTATCTATGATTGAGATCTTAAAAGAATTAGATCATATCCAGAAACATTTTTCTTTTCTCATCTGCAAAAGCGTGTATCATCAATATTACCAGACAGTCACTAAATATATCTTCAAGTCAGTTGATGAAAAGGCTGACAAGGATTGAAGAATTTACGATTTCAATGTTCAGTTTATCTCTTGTCCAAATGGCAGAAATTTCTCAGCCCAGAAAGTTTACAAACATTATAAATTGAATTTCATTAACCCTGTTAGAATTAAGCACGTGTATAATGAGTAGTGAGTCATTAGTATTACTTCCTCATCTGTGATTAGTGCTGATTAGCTCTAACTTAGGAGATATTTTTTTATGGTTAATAATATTATTCATAATATAAATATAAGCATGTGTAGACTGGTTGGCCGTACATATTTTTCTCCAATTCTATAAATCCAAACAATCAAATATATAATTATCCCTGACATGCCTACCAGATCACAAGTACAAAATGAATTAGAACCTATAATCTAAACTACATTTACAAGGAAATAGAAACATCAAACACATTAATCAGGAAAACTCTACAAGTAAAATTATAAAAAATGGAAGGCTCCTGTTTAGTCAAATACCATTAAAAAGGTTCAAGAAAATAAAAAAGAATGATAATTAATACTGTGAAATACAAACATATAGCCACAAGAAGTGATTTCAAGTGCTTATTTGGTTTACACCGTAAAAACGTTTGAGGAAATGAAAAAGTATTCATTTCACCGAAAAATTGAATTAATAAAATATGACACCTAAATTTATATTTTTTAATAACATATTGCAACAAAAATTAAGAAAGATTACAATAAACCGAATTTCACATAAAAATTTATTAAAAAAATTAAAAATGGACAACATTAAATTAATTAACAATATCAATGTTATAATTTCATCTAGAAATGTTGAAATTTACGTATAATACAAATTAAAATTTAATTTATTGAATTCTAAAAAATCTTATAAATTTCTAAAATTTAACATGTGATTTTAACTTCTGATTTGTTATCTTGATTTTGACAAAATAATATACTTTTTTTTTCCCAAAATCAAGTCTGGATTCACAAAAGAATAAAATATACTAAAAAATCAAAAATTCTCATCTAGTGCCCTCTAGGCTTGGACTATGCAAACTAGAGGAAATTAAAGAAGTTGGATTTGGTGCGCTCGATTCTTAGTGAGGCATCCTCCCAACGACGCTCATCCTCCATCTTCCTCAGTGTTTAGATCCAAAAATTTCTTAACATTAGTTAAATTTCCTCAATATTTTGGAATATCTAATATAAAAACTATTTATGTATTTTTTTTTCTCTTTTGTTTATCTCCTTCATCTTCCTCAACGCTCATATTTTTTGTTATTGTGGAGGCATGCGGTGCAAGCGAAGGCACGATAGTGTGGCGAAGCAACACCAACTACAACCCTTTTGCATACGAAAATCCCATTCTAGGATTCTCATGACTTAATTCAGATTGTGTGATTTTCCTTTATTTTTTTCTCTCCTCTCAAGGATTCTTGAGCATCCTATGATTAATGAAAATGGATTTCACTAGTGGAAAATAAGGCTATTACATCACCCCTTTTACGTCATACATACCAAAATATGACGTAAAAAAGATGTGGTGGCATTTTTGTAATTAACAGTGGACTATTTTACGTTGGACTAGGTATGGTCCGATGTAAAATATTATTTATATCATGACCTTTTCATTCTCTTCCCGCGCGCGTCTTAGTTCATTTGACAGCAAAGAGTAATCTGAGTTTCTACAAAGAGAAATCTGAGTCTTCTGCACACCTTAGTTCTCTTCTACACCTTAGTTTTGCATTGGGCCTGCACGTTTGAGGTTAGTTTCAAAAATCCTGACCTGCATTAGCTTTTGTGTTAATATTAATGAAAATGGATTTCACTAGTGGAAAATAAGGCTATTACATCACCCCTTTTACGTCATACATACCAAAATATGACGTAAAAAAGATGTGGTGGCATTTTTGTAATTAACAGTGGACTATTTTACGTTGGACTAGGTATGGTCCGATGTAAAATATTATTTATATCATGACCTTTTCATTCTCTTCCCGCGCGCGTCTTAGTTCATTTGACAGCAAAGAGTAATCTGAGTTTCTACAAAGAGAAATCTGAGTCTTCTGCACACCTTAGTTCTCTTCTACACCTTAGTTTTGCATTGGGCCTGCACGTTTGAGGTTAGTTTCAAAAATCCTGACCTGCATTAGCTTTTGTGTTAATTGTTCATCTGGAACTGCCCATTCTGTAACCAGAACTTCTTTGTCTCGGTATAAATACAGCCCATAGCAATGCTGATCAATATATGCCAACAAAAAACAAGTTTTAGATCTTTAAAGTTGCACAGGAGATGCCCTAACAAACTGTTTCAAGAAAAGAACTTTATCGCATTAGAAACCAAAACCTTTTAAGCCCATTCTCAATTAAGAGTTCTAAGCAAGAACGATAGCAATGGCTTAACGCATTTTCTGCAGCAGTGTGGTACTTCACAGCATACTTTGGGCCAACAGTATGGATAACTTTCCTGCCAAAAATTTATTGAAGGCATAAATATGGGTCAGCAACTAAGAAAGGCTTAAAGGCATATTAATACAAATCTAACTTCTACCCAAGAGAATTACATGTGAGACGTGACTAAGGAAGCAATATAGATCAGCAACAAAGGGGCAGAAGACCAGAATATATTAACATAACTTGTTTTTGTGCAGCATGACATATGAATTAATGATCTCAAACCGAAACATAGAAAAGAGAAAACATGCTGTTTACAATTGTCCAATTATACACACACATCTACATTTGTGTATAATATACAAATCCCATGCCGATACAACTATAACTCAAAAGGGATCAAAGTTAGCATGAGAATGCACCTTTGCATCAAATATCAATGCAACAGCACTGACTAAAAGACATTCTAAGTATCTTTTCTCCTAGAAAGGAGGCAAAAAAGTAAACCATGATTGCATAGTGACAGGGGGGGGGAATATACAAACCTTGCAGGAAGGTCATAGGCATTGGTAACTTTGGCCATCCCTGTTCTACATCCACCCTGTCAACAATAAAGATATGTGATATCAATTTTATCATCATATTCATATTTCATTTCCAGAAAGCTGCTTTTCCTGGCACGACATTCCATGAATTGTTGAAACACAATAATGATACAATGCTGACATCTTAGCTCAATCTCCCAGCCAAACTATTATCTCTCACAAGAAATCCAAACCTTTATTGAAGATATAGTTAGTAATAAATTAATAATTTCAAATGTTATCAATATGATACATCAAACACATAACAATACATCTTTGCAGAAGCAATTTATAACTATACCAAAGTTGCACATTCTTCTGCAAGACCAGGTCCAGCTGCAGCATGCAACCCAGGGCTGCTGTGTGCTTCGTCCAAGATCTGAAGACAATAAATAAAGCAAGCTAAGAAATATGAGACTATTAGATCCATTAAATTTATTGGAGGTCCAGTTCTAGCCTGTTATGTAGTAATCATTATATTACATAATCACAATTGACTAAGGTGCAAAATAATTGTAGAAATTGAGAGAATTTATATGTAACTCAATTTCGAATATCACAGTAGATGCAGGAGAGCAACAAGACAACAAGTGAACAGTGATAAGGGGTAAACAAAAACTGGTCTTATGTGATGTTAATTTAAAATACAGATCCTGCTTTATTGACATTAATTGAATAAATTTATGCAAGGATTCTTTCATAAGGGTTCAATGTTATGCAATTTTATTTTATCAGCAACAAAATCACTGTTAGCCTAAAATTTAATTGCATTCAAACACCAAAGAGCAAGTGCCTCTAAGAATTCAATGACTTGGGAAAAAGAAATATTTATGAAATTTCTCAATAGATGGGCTTCTTATATGTTGAATATTAGATTTTAGGTAGGGAA